TAGTCTTTGATTTTCTGAAGTAAGCACTTTAAGTCCTACTCACTTTCAGCAAGCGAGATTATGATATTTTATCAGCATAAAGAAGGTTATTGATGAATTTTCCTCAAATCCTAATGCCACGTTCTTCTTCATAGAATCCAGCTTCTTCGAATTTGTTCACCATACAGACCGAGTATGTATGGAAAAAAGGATGCAATCTTGATGCACACCTTTCCTAATATTAAACCAGACAGTGCTCCCTTGATCTGGCACACAGTTGCTTCCTGTCTAGGTATAAGTTTTACACGAGCACAAGTAAGTGTTCTAGGACACTCCTTCCTCTTAATGTTAGTCATAAATTTTTGGTGATTCACACAATCAAATGATTTTGCATAGTCAATAGAACACAAAAGCTTATTAATCTTTACGTCCTTTTATAAGCTTGTTAGTACATAGCCTTGTTTATGGTATATTCATATAATGCAATATATTGTTGTTATAAGGCCTCAAGTGTGAATTGAGTCATAGCTGAAGTTTTAGGGGTTTTTCAGAGCACATATATCACACAGGAAGAAATTAGTCATTCTCTCCAAGCACCCCCCCCCCGCCCCAGAGCAGGTGGTGGATTGAAAGTGCCTGCCTTTGAATTGGCAACATGACTGTTTAGCCACTAGGCCACCAGAGTTCCAATGCGAGATAGAACACTTTGAAGACCATATACACTAGTATCTATGACATACACTACACTGTGTCATACTATTCTAGACATTTTATAAGCATTCCACCATTTTCTATTTCCTATTAGAGGTAATTTTTAAGTTGTTTTTTAAAAAATATATGACTCTAAGATGTTGTTGTTGTTGTTATTAAGTGTCATTGAGTTGTAGATGACTCATAGTGACCCTATGAATGAAAGATCTGAACACTTATATAACTTTCATCGTTTCTCCACATTCTTAGTCTGGAGGCAAGCTATTTCAGAAGTGGGTGTCACTCCTGGTAGAGATAAATAAATAAGCCATTATTTATTTATTGGAAACTGATTATGAGTTCTTTTTCTTCTTCTTCATATATCTATATATCCCTTTGCAGAAGTTATACTGTCATAGAACAATGAATTAAGCCAAGTTATTAACACTATTACCTCTTTTAGAGCAAACTAAAAATAATTGCATATCAATTATTCTGCCACCATGTTTTCAATGGCAATAAGGGAATAAGATATATATCATGACCCCTAAGCAATCACAATAATGTTTCTAAGAAAACAAAACTGAGTGATGCATAATTTAAAACTCCTAATTTAAATTAGCTGTATGGGAGTATAAGCTTAATGCACTTCCAAAATATTATTCTGATTATAGTTTGAAATTTTTACTTATACATCATTAATGTATAATCATTATGCATAATGGAAAAGAAAGTTTCTCTATTACTCTAAATATAGTGATTTGACCAGTCTAATTAATTTTCTCTTGGGATCTCTCCTTTGCTTTCTTGGACATTAATACATATCACTTTAATTATTACAACTGGATTTTCTATTGTTATTATGGAAAAACTAATAAGAACATAAATTAAAAAATATTTCAGTCTTCTTAATAGCACCTACTGCCATCTTCACTATTTTACTTTTATTGTCAACAGGGGGAACAATACTTTAAAGCCATAAAGCCCAATAAAGTTATAAGAAAAATTAAAATAGAAGTTATCAGCTTCTACAAGAATATGAAATTATTTATTGTTGTGGCCTCTAGTGGCAGTTAAACATTTTAATTTAATTCTTCCAAGCAAAGAAATAAAATAATATGCATGAATATCTTCTTGTTGATAAAATAATAAAAGGCATAATGACCCATTTCACGCAAAGACAGTTGTTATCCAATATGAAAGCATGCCACTCACCTCTGCTTACCACTGTCAAACCTACTAGATGAAAATTTACCTTTGTGTTGTCTTCTACTATAATTAAGGATAAGTCTAAGCACAATTGCTTTGATCTGTAAATATGTATTTGCTTAAAGCATGAATATGGTAAACTTACCAAAACCACCCAATCTGTTGCTAAGGAGTCAATTTTCACCTTTGACAGAGGTCACTGACATCTCATTTTTATGACAGAAAATTTGAAGCCTCTTTGCATATGTTTTCTTTGTACAAGTTATAAAATTGATTTTAATGAAAATAGAGTCTTCAACTGTTATTTCTTATTTACAAAGACAACCCCATTGACTGATTTTGAATTTTATGTTCACTTTAGCAGCACTTATAGAATCTGTTTGCTCTAAGGTGCTCTAAATAAATACTAGTTGTTTTATTGGAAAGAAATTGCATTTATCAGTGTCTGAGTCCCAAAGCTATGACTATTCTCCAGTGCTATATTATACAGGGCTTAAATTTAAATGCAAACACAAACCCAAACCGTTTAAATGAGATTGTAAACTGTTTTGGAATGTGCAGCTATTTGCCTCTATGAAAAACTTCCTCATATATAACAAGATCAGAAAAATTGAATGGTGCCCCACTACAAAACGCAGTTTTTAATTCTCATGGATTCTATATTATCTAGAGTCATGCTATTGTTGTTGTTATGTGTCATCGAGTTGCTTGCAACTCATAGCAACCATAGGGTACAATAGCCCTGAAACCTGCTTTATCCTGTGCCAACTTTAATGTCTCTGACACACTTACCCTCATTATCCCAGTCCCTCGCATCAAAAGTCTTCCTCTCTTGCGCTGGCCCTCCATTCTTCCAAGTATGATGTCCTCTCCAAGGACTGGTCCCTCCTTGCAACATGCCCAAAACATGTCAGACAAAGCCTCAGAATCTTTACCTCCAAGGAGCAACCTGGATTCACCATCTCTAGGACAAACCTGTTTGTTAAATTCATGAAACTATTGCCCTGAGATACTCTCAAACCCAAACCAGTAAGCTCCCCTTTAACCTTCTTGGAGCAGAAAATTAAGTTTAACTAGTGGAAGAGGAGAATTAGATACACAAGATCAAAATAACAATAGCAACCTTAAATAGCTATTAACCACCTTGTTGTTTTTAGGTGTGATTTTGAGTATGATTCAGAGCAACCCAATGAACAACAGATCTGAATGTTTTCTTATGCTGTGTTCTCTCCATCATTTCTGACATTCTTGAAACTACTGTTGCAGTCATTGTGTCAATCAACCTGTTGGGCACATTCAGGAGGGCAACTGTTCAAATGTGCTGTTGTCGTCTCATCAATTCCTGTGGCGCCATTTTTCACCAATGGCTTTAGTACAGCTTGAACTTCTTTCACCACCAGTGGCTCTTGATTATATGCTACTTCCTGAAATATTTGGTTTTGGTGCAATGGCTCTGTGTATTCTTTCTGTCTTCTTTTAATTCTTCTTGGACCATTCTTCCCCTCCCACCCACCATGGAATCTCAATATTACAAATTGAGGCTTGAGTTTGTTTTTTAATTCTTTCAGCTTGAGAAATACCAAGAAAGTTTTTCCTTTTTTATTCTCTGACTCCAGCTATCTGGACACTTGATTATAGTGCTTTTTTTAATCGTCTTAAGCTGCCCTTTAAAAATCTTCTGTTCAGCTCTTTTATTTCAGCATTTCTTCCCTTTGTTTTGGCTTCTTGATGCTTTAGTGCAGTTTTAAGAGTCTCTTCAAACACTCAGTTTGTTTTCCTTTTATTCTCTGTCATTAATGACCTTCTGTTCAATTCATGGATGGTCTCCTTTATGTCCTCCATATCTCATCTTCCATTTGATCATTTGTGTCAATTCTTCAAGCCTATTCTTAAGATACGGGAGCTCTGGTGGAAATGATTTTTAAATTCAGGTACGATATACTAAAGATCATACTTTAGTTATTGTACACTTCTTCAAATCTACCAGTTGCTTTCTGGGAGATGGAAGGGCAATCTCTTCCCATGGAATAACTGCCTGCAAAAATCCACCAAAGGGTCAACTATGGATCAGTTCCAACTAGTTGGTTCACAACAACAACATTACACTTAATTTAATTTAATTTCCATACTGATGGCTTACTGCTAAGAAGCTGCAATCATGAAGGCAAATGGTTCAAATTCACAAGCTATTTCACAGGAGAAAGGTAAGCAATCTCCTCCTGTGCCTCTCTGAAAACCTGCTGGATGAAGAATCAGCTATGGTTCAGTTCTAACTCGGTGATACACAACAACAACAATTACTTTAATTTACACACACAGAGAAACACACAAACCCTTGTTTATCATTCATTCTTAATCATACAGCACTGTCTGTCAGCTTGCTGTACTGTGGTAACTTGTGGGTTTGTTTTTTTTTTATGCTGAAAGCTGTGCCACTTGAGTATTAAATACCAGAAGGGTACCCATGGTGGACAGGTTTTAGAAGAGCTCCCAGATGAAGACAGAGTAGGAAGCAGGTTAGGCCATCCACCTCTGAAAGAGAAGGACTCTGAAAATCCTGTGAAAGATAGAGGAACTCAAATAGATGTAGTTAGACACCTACGGTGTGGTAAGTTTATGTTAGTGATGAAGGAACAACTCAGAATAGGATGATAACAAAGGTTGTACAACTAAAAAAATGTAATCAGTATCACTGAATTGCACATGGAGAAACTCATGACTTGATATCTATTTTACTATACACATTCTTAATGGCAACAAACAATGTAAAAATTTTAGAAAATCTAAATATGAGAGGGGCTTTTGAAGCAAAAGATACAGAATTTGTTATACTTGCAAGTTGAATTTCCGTTACTAAATCTATTCAGGCTTAAGAATTTTTTTTTCTATTGCTTTGCAGAAGGTATGAATCCCACTGGGATTTTTAAATATGTTGTAATTTCTAGTATTTCTCTTATCTAAGACTAAATTGAAGAATTACTTGAGACTCTGCCGACGTAATGAAAATAAAAATAAGTTATTCCATATAAACAAAAATGTTTTGTATTAAATTATGATATTTTAGTTGGGATTATTTTTTTAAGAGTTCAGGATTTTTTTATTAAACATGTTACAAAAGGAGTTTAGTCAAAAAGACCAAATCCCATGTTATTATCAGACTTTTCAGATTCTTCTTTCTTTGCTTCCACTTTCTTCTTCTCAGCTGGAGTAGCAACAGAGGAGGGGGCAGGTCCACCAGCACCTGCGTTGCAGATGAGGCTCCCAAGGTTGACATTTGCCAGGGCCTTTGCAAACAGGCCAGGCCAGAAAGGTCCAACGTTGACACCAGCTGCCTTCATGAGAGCATTGGTTTTATCCTCCGTTGTGGTCACCTCATCATCATGCAGGATGAGGGCCAAGTAGATGCAGGTGAGCTCAGAGACAGAGGCCACGGTGCGGTGGTACTAGGCTGAAGGCTGCGGGACATGATGCTAGTCGCAGGATAAAGTGAGGGCCTCACGCCAAGCGGGCCTTAGCTTCCTCAGAAGGACCGAGCAACTTACCGGCAACTGATGAAAGGGCAGATGGGATTCTTTATATAAGTCTGAATAATTTAAGTAACTTTTCCTCTAACTTCCCTAAAACAACTTTGAGGCCACTAGACTATTCCAAATGTTTTAGAATTTAGTGTACCTGAATCTCTCTTAAACATGAGAGAAAAAAATTAAACCTCAAAAATGTAATTCAAAACTTTACGTCCCTATCTTTTCAACCTTTCATTAATTATATTCTCTTTGTATCTCAGTTTCCTGCTCTCCATCTACATTTGTGGTGGTGCTTTATTTTTGTTAGGTGTCTTCAAGTCAACCTGAGACCCTTTGAAAAAACAGATCAGACTTTGCTCTCTTTTGTACCATCGTCGCCATTTCTGGTGTGCTCCAGTTCCTTGTTGCAAACACTGAGGCAATGAATCTTTTGTTGGGAGTCTTCCTCTCTTCATCTAACCCTCTACCTTCCCTAGAATGATGTCCTTTTACAAGAACTGTCCCCTTTTGACAACATGCTCAAGTATGTGAAATGAAGTTCACTATCCCATATTTCTAAAGAGGTGAGGATTTTAACAAATGTCCTCAAGAACTGTTGTTACCTTCTCAGCAAGCTATGTATAATTTTGAGGATTATCTAATAAGAAGTTTGTAAATTACAGCAACCACTTTTCACAAACATCTCTTAATATGCAAATGCAATACATCCCTCAAAACTTATTTCATATCATCTTGGCTGACAAGTGTTCACCTTCAAGTCTTCTCTCTTCTACTGTCTCTTCCTTTGTCATTTTAACTTCCTTCATACTACTTCCACAGAGATAATGTTTCCCTGTGACTTTCCTTTATATTTTCCACATAACAAAGGTACAAGTAAGATATTTGATCAAGTCCATAATGTATTTTTAAAATTGAACTTATTCTCTTTTTATGTCTATCTACCATCCCCTTTTATTAAGATTGCTGAGTAAAATTGCTTCCTTCTATAATTTTCGATTGCATTTCTTCTCAAGATTGATGTCACTGGCCATGTCTCCGTTTCCTTAAAATAAATTCTTCCTTTTAGTAATCCTTATTCTTCAGTTTACCTCTTTGATAAAATGATCAATTGAATGGGGAGCAATGCAAGAAGATGATTGGTGCATCAGTGCTTATCACACTCTTATATTGTCAAATACGTATTAGCCAAATATTTATGTTTCCATTTGCCTTTATGAGAACACAAACTGCTTCAAGTTTCTTCCCAAAATATACTGTGTTGTATTTCCATTAGCTTCCTTTGGAATTCTCTTTCTGTTTTTCTTCCTTCTTTCTGAGACTGAGCACACTCAGAGATTAAGGTATCTCAAAATTAACCTCTTGAAATTTTCATATAATTTATTTTACAATAACAGACTATAAAACCAAGGATGTGTATATGTAGTTTATTTAATGATTTGCCTGTCATAATAGTACCTTAAGGAAAGCATCAAATAATCAGCATTACTATATTACAGTTTAACTTGACAAATGAAGCCATGATTTGGCATTATCAAATGTTTCTATTATTTGGCTCCCATAATCAACACACATAGAAGTAGCAAACATCCAATCAAATGATGTATTGTAATGGACAAATTTGCTGTGACCACAACTTCCAAGGAACTTTTTAAAGTGCTAATGAGCATGGATATAATTTTAAAGACTAAGCTGTAACTGACCCCAACCTGTGGTCTTTTTTCAATTGATTTATGAGGCTCTAAAAGTTGAGCTATGCATAAAGAAGGCTTAAGAAAAATTAATGTCTTTATATTTTATTGTTGGTAAGGACTACTGTTGGAAGGAGGAGTGGCATACACTTGCACAATAGCTTGCCTCCAGAAACTCTATGAACCTGGACAGAGAAATAAAGGCACCCAAATGTTGAGGACTCTCCTTCATAAGGTCACTATGAGTCACCTGCAACTCATGGCAAGTAACAACAGTAACATCAACATAGAGAGAGAGAGATCAGCTGGCCCAGTGGAGAGAAGGCGATGCTGCCAAGCCGAAGGTGGGTGACTTTTAATCTGCAGCTCTCGGGCCTGTCTTTCATTGTTTTTGTTCAGACATTCCTCTAGGTAGTATAGCCCTGGTGTACAAGTTACTATACCGTGGTCACTTGTGGTTGCTGTGAGGCTGAACACTGTGATACTGATGTGTCAAATGCATTAATGGTTGGCTACCCAATGCGGACAGAGAGTGGGGTGGAGCTCCCCATTAAAACAAGCTTGGAAGGAGGAGTGGCATCCACTTCCATAATAGCTTGCCTCCATAAACCCTGTGAACCTGGAGAAAGAATGAGAGACACCCAAGTGTCGAGGACTCTCCTTCATAGGGTCGCTATGAGTCGCCTGCGACTCCACGGCACTTAACAACAACCACAAGGACTACTGAGTATTTCATGAACTGCTGGGGGGGAAAAGTCTATCTTGATTGACGTGCATCTGTCATGTCATGAGGGGCCAGGAGGGTGCGATTTCATTTCACAAACTCAAAGTGCATTATCAGGAGGGGCCATTCCTTGGTGAAGAAATCCACCGAGCTTTAAAGGGGAAGGTCAATAAAAAAGTGTGTAAAAAGAGTGCTGTGCTGCTTGGGGACAACCTTATCTGACCTTTACCAACTTCACAAAGGGGAACTATTCCCTTCAATGACATCATTAACATAAAACCAATTCCTATGAAGCCAGACATATCCTCTACTCTCCTGTACCTCCTTCTACTTATCCCAGATCCAATCTCATTGCTTGACTGTATCCAAAATCTCATGTGATAGCTCACAGACTACACAGAACTATTTTAGGGAAGTCAAAAGGTTAGTAGCAGAAAACAGGACAGCTTCCAAAATGTGCTCTCAGATATTTTTATCCTCACAGCATTAGGCCAGTGCTACAAGACTCTTTAGACCTGCCTGTTATGGCTCTCCACTCCCCACACCCCCCCATCCTCCATCAAACTTGGGCAAAGGTTCTCAGTTCTGGTTCAATGGAGGGGCGGCAGTCCCAAGATCAGCTCTGTTTTATGTCCATTCTCTACTTCAGCTACTGCTATAAGGCTAGCTGGCACATGAACCTCTGGTCCTGAAGGCCATCCACTGTATGGTTGCTTCTCCATTGCTGGTGGTGAGACTCCAACTCTGCTGCTGGTTCTTCTCAAATTAATGGTAAAACTAGCCAGTCCTCTTGTGGCAAATCCCTTTGTGAATAGTCTAGCCTGCCTTATTTGCATATACACGTTCTAGTCACATGTTACTGCCCATCCATGTGGTAAAGTCAGTCAGTAGCTATGGAAGCCACTTTGGACAATAAACCCTTAACAGCACAGAGCAGATAATTTTTAATGAGACAAGCTGATGGAGTAACCACAACAGAGTTAAATAGCACAGATTGAAAGAATGATACAGGCAGCATTTCATTCTGTTATACATGGTGTTTCTATTAATCAAAGCCAACTCAAAGACACCTAAAAATAACAATAGGTCTATAACCTGTTATAGATGAAAACATTTATGTATTACAGAATCTTACACCCATTTTTTTGTTATGTGTCATCAACTCACTTGTGACTCATAGTGACCCTATTACAGCATCCCTATCCTGTGTCAATCTTATTGTCTCTGTCACACCTACTCTCATTACCCCAGTTACTGAATGAATCCATTCCATCATAGGTCTTTCTCTCTTGTGCTGTCCCTCCACCCCCCTAAGCATGATGTCCCTCTCCAAAGGCTTGTCTGTCCCTCCTCGCAACAAGTCCAAAGTGTGTCAGACAAAGCTTTAGAATCTTTGCCTCCAAGGAGCAGCTTGGTTTCACCCTCTCTAGGATGAACCTGTTTGTTCTCATAGTCCTCTGAGGTATAGTTACTACTCTTCTCCATCATTAATGATACAAAATTCCATTATTTCTAAAAAAAGAAAACACAAATTAATACATTGAGAACTACCTTTCCCAACAGAATAATTTTAAACTAGTCACTAAATCTTACATTTTCTTTTACAGAGGTAGTAGACCTGAACTGGATAGGTCTAGGAAATTATCTTTCCCTCCTTTTGGAAGTGTGATTCTGTTGACACTCAGGTGCTCATGGGTTTTGATGTTAGAGATCTGTTATCTATGCTTTGATTTTCTTTTCCCCAAATTCTTAGGATCTGACTATAGCTATACTGGATAATTACATTTTAATTATCTGATAATTATTTATCTATGAATAAGAACTTCTTTCTTCCAGGGTTTGTGTACAATTTCAGTAGGTAAATTGTAAAACATTTCAGTATCAGTTTTTAAAAATAAGTTATGAAAGCATGAGGGTTTTGTGAAGCCAATAGACTAATATGATCTCAATTATTTTTTTATTATTATTTAGTTTGTTTAATAGAAACAATATTTTCATTTTTCTCTAAAGAAGAACAAAACTCAACTTTGGCCACATTACAGAAAGGACTCTTAATAAAGTATATGTTGACTTGCCTGGAGCATTAGCAGAATCTGAATCACGGGAAGCTAAGAGATATAGCTTAATTATGCATGAGTAAGGAAGAGCTAGAATTCACCGGAGGATCATGGGTCAAGGGGAGATTCCATTAGCCTTGGCCATAAGTTTCAGGGTCTTGAGAATGATAACTTTATGTAGATAATATCTTTCTTGGGGATTTTTGCACTGGATTTTTTTATAAATTTAAGAAAATATTTCACCTGCTCAAATATTATTTGGAAAAGGATGATCTAAATTTTCATCAGTGTTAGAAAATTATCTTCTTTGTCTTAGGAATAAAATCTTCCTTCCAGAGAGTGAGGAACAGGGTGGTTAGGGCTGGACAGGAAGAATCTATTATGCTTGTAGAAAAAGTATTTTGATAATAAGAATATTTAAAGACTATCTCAGAAGCTAGGGCCAGGATTGGTTTCCCAATAAATCAAAAGAAAGTATTTTTTTTTTTGCAACTCCAAAATGGCAGAAGCTCAAAGAGAAAAACAGCAGAAGGCCTTTGAGTAAATTTAAAATAGTATTTTTACATAATCTAATAATTCTGAAGTATAACATGCCTGATTCCCTAGCAAAATTGGACTTTTCTGGAATGTAGTAAAATATTATTTCACTGGGGCAAATAGAAGTTGCCTCTACTTCAGTCAGTCAAGTTGTTGTGTACTCATGAGTCAGAAATAGCTGATCCTTCAGTGAGTTTTCAAAGGCAGTCAATCATACAAGAGGAAATTACCCATCCTTCTCTCACAGAGAAGATAGTGGATTTGAACTGTGTGCCTTTAGCATTCCAGCACAGTTTCTTGCTTATAGGCCACCAAGAATAAATGCAGCATAAAATACATAGATTGTTAGGAAGAAAGAAAAATAAATCCTGAGTT